ACTATAGACTAGACTATAGACTAGACTATAGACTAGACTATAGACTAGACTATAGACTAGACTATAGACTAGACTATAGACTAGACTATAGACTAGACTATAGACTAGACTATAGACTAGACTATAGACTAGACTATAGACTAGACTATAGACTAGACTATAGACTAGACTATAGACTAGACTATAGACTAGACTATAGACTAGACTATAGACTAGACTATAGACTAGACTATAGACTAGACTATAGACTAGACTATAGACTAGACTATAGACTAGACTATAGACTAGACTATAGACTAGACTATAGACTAGACTATAGACTAGACTATAGACTAGACTATAGACTAGACTATAGACTAGACTATAGACTAGACTATAGACTAAACTATAGACAATACTATTGGATAAGCTATAGTCCAGACTATAGACTAGTCTAAAGTCTAAACTATATGTTAGACATTCGTCCAAACTATGCTATAGTTCACACATTAGGCTAAACTGTAGTCCAGACATTACACCAGACTATAGACTAGATTAAAGTCCAAACTATAGACTAGACCAGCGGTTCCCACCGATTTTTACTTCGCGGACCCCTTGAAGAACTTATTTAATTTCGCGGACCCCCATACATATTTTGATATTCTATTGTTCTAAATAATTGTTCATCCGAAAATTGACCTAGTCCATTAATCCCTAGGTCTAATAAATGTAGAGATGTCATATCTATAAAATATTCCCGTACATTGAGAATATATAATATTTCAGATAGGTTTTCAATTGCATGTTTTGAAGATAGAATGACTTCTTTGTTGATATGTTAACATGATGTTTCATTTTATGATCGTGAGATCTTTCATGTTCATTTTTCTTCAAGGTAGCGAAAATATCAATATCAAATATTGTCACATGTGCTTAAGGAGTCACGTTTCAAAAATTTGTTGCGATTGCAAAGGGTGAACTGAGTAAGTGAGCTAAGTTTTCGGGAAAATAATATAAGAAAGTTGGACTTGTTCTATGTTGTTGCGGAATGCGTTATCCGCATAATATATGATTTGAGCTCTTTGTTAAAGTACTGTGAATTTGGAACTTAAATTTGAATTTTAAAATATCAACGAATTATTTTACTTCATGGTTTTTGGCTACATATTTACGCGAAACGCTATGGATTTTCTGATGTTAATTTAATAATATGTATTGGTCGACAAAATCAAGTTAAAATCTGTGTATCACGTCGGATTGGAATATTTATAAAGAGATGCAAAAAGAGTCACCTCTGTTTTGAAAATATATAATTTTAGTCCTTTCAAACAAGAACACTTTTGCTTACAATTTGATAAACTTAAATCTATAATAAGCTTGTCTTTGAATTGAACTTCATACTCCGGAATACCAGTATCAAAATCACGCAATACTTTATTTTATAAAAGTTATACAATAAAATTTGTACGGCCTAGCTTCTTCCTGATAAACAACCGAAAAAATAAAATTCAAAACAACACCAAAAAATTTAGGATTATTGCACAAAAATTGGAGATATTTGTACATACATATAAATGAATATTGTTTATTCATGTTTTTTCGTTCGTCTTCGCGGACCCCCTAGGATTTTACTACGGACCACTAGGGGTCCGCGGACCCCCATTTGGGAACCGTTGGACTAGACAATAGTTCAGACTTTTGACTATACAATAATATAGACTATAGCCCAGACTGTAGACTAGGCTATAGTCCAGACGATAGACTAGACTGAATTCTAAATTATAGGTTAGACATTAGTCTAGACTATTAAAAACTACAGTCCAGACTAAGACTTTAGAAATTTAAATTAATTTTTTCTTGCATTTCATAAAGTTTCTTGAACTTTATCTATTTAATCTCTACATCTCTTCATATTTTCAGGACCATTACTTTTATACTCTACACACACTTTCTAAGCCATAACCATTTAATAATATTATCCTGGCTAATAATCTGATAAAAAATACTCTGCTTTGTTTCAAGCATATGTAAAAGATTCTTCCAATATAAAAAAACATCTGCTAAATCAGTGATTTCTCCGTTTTACTAAAATATGTCTAGGATTTTATATAAAACTTATTTTACATAAAGAAAAACATAGAAATAGCAAAAGGATAAAAAATCGAAAACTGAAAAATTTTATGAAACAGTTATTTTATTGTTATAACCTTCTATATAAAACTATTTATAACATAAATTCTAAAAAAAATAAGTTTCCTATAAAAATATGCAAAAAGCCTGTAAAGGCTTAAGGTTTTGTTAGAGAGACAAAAAGTCATATTCAAATCATTTTATAAAGTTTATAAAGTTATTGAAAGGATTTTGTGCCTTTTTTTAAAAAAATATGACATCATTTCTATGGCAAAGGCTTTAACTAAAAGGCTTTTTGTTATAAGTTTAAGATTTTGTTCAAATATAAAAAATAAACTTTGTTGTTTATTTAAACAAAAAACCTTTTGACCAGCTGTTAACAATACTATAAACAAATATTTTGTCTTTATTTAAAATTCATAAAGTGGCACGTGACTTAACAGGAAGTGGTAGAAAAAAGTTTTAACAAAGTTTTTGTTTTTGTATAAAAAAAGGTGTAGATTAAGTTGGTGAATGGTAAAATTATGTTTTAAAGTTATGAATGCCAACAGTAACAATAGATTTCATTAAAGTAAAATTACAAGGCTTGAAGGCGTTTACTTAATATTTTTAAATAAATATCAATCATACGCCTAGAGAATAATTTTCAATTAAACTTGTTATAAAAGTTAATGAAATTTAATTGCAAATTATTAAATTCAAATATCAGCGTAAGTAATATTTCGAAATCTAATCAAACTTCCGTGGCGTATACTTGATATTTTTAAATAAATATCAATCATACGTCTATGATTAACTTTACATTTCTTTTTTTATTATTTTTCTTACTTTAATACCAAATCTTTGTTATTTGCAATAAAATTTTTCACAAAAAGTATTTTAATCTGTGGTATAAAAAAACGAACTTTTTTCATTTACTTAACACCAACCAACCTGTCAAGAAATTCTTAAGAAAATTACTCATAAGAGTATTTAATATTTGTTAGCAAAAAGTTCTTTGCTTGCTTTATTTTGCAGCAAAGAATATTCAACAATCTAATTGTTGTGAAGGAGAAAAAGTTGTGGGGATATAAATAGCACAGAGAATTTAGTAAAAAAAAAAAAGTTTTAACACAACTTTTTTTGCAAACTTCAAAATTTGGCTAAAACTTTGGACAGAAAATATGTTTCTTCCAAACTGGTTTTATGAAAATACTGGTTTTCAGCAAAAGCTTTTTAGAAAGAGCTGGAAAATTTTAAAGCTATTTTAGAAAAGCATAAAATAATATAAAATATAAAAGCTTTTTAAAGAAAAACTTAAAAGTTTCTTAAAGAAAAGCGTTTTAAGCTGTGATTGAGAGCTAAACAAGAAAGCCAATTGGAAAAAGCTTAAATGCTTGAAAACTTTATAGGAAAAGTTTTAAAGCTTTTTAATTACAATATGTACCTTTTTTGTAAACGTTTAAACGTTTGCAATGAAAACTTGAAAGCTATTTAAGGACGTCTTTTTAAAGAAATGATTTTTAAGTAAACTTAAAGCTTTTTCAAAGACAACTTAATAGTTTTTCCAAAGTAAACTTAAAAACTTTTCCAAAGAAAACTTAAAAGCTTTATATTAAAAGCTAAAACCATAAAAAAAGCTTTTCAAGATCTTAGAGAAACATTAAAAGCTTCACAGAAACCCTTTTAAAGAAAAGAAAAAACTTTTTCAGAAAACTTAAAACTATTTCAAAGAAAAGCTTTTCCAACGTAAACTAAAAAAACTTTTCTAAAAAAAGTTTAAAAACCTTTCCAAAGAAAGCTTCAAAGTTTTTCCAAATGAAAACTGAAAATTTTGTTAAACAAAAGATGAGGCTTTTTAACAAAAGAAATTCTTAGATCTTTATTTGAATAACTTTTAAACGATTTTTCTTTTCCTCTTCACTGCTCTTATTTTACCCAACACTACGCTGCCACATTGGCATGTCTTTATTGTGCGCTAAATCCATTAAAACTCTCGCTCACTTTCTTAAACTCTTGTTGGTCTTAAACATTTCGCTATGTATTGTAATTAATAAAGCTACAAATTTTCCTTCATCTAAGAAGTATAAAAAAGTTAAACAAATAAAACCAAACTTCAACAAAATAAAAGCACTAACTAAACTTTAATAAAATCATGCAAAAACTTTTGCTTAAACACAACAACAAAGAATATTTTTGGCGATTAAGAGAAGTGTTTAATATGAAACGGAAATAGCAAAGGAAATTGAGATGAAATTAAGTGATAAAAACAATAGAAATTTTTTGAAGATAAATTAGTGGGGAGAAAGGGGATAAAAGAATATTAAATAGATTTGTTAAAGTCACGTGACTGGGAAATTTTGTATTGAAAATTTCATTAAAAGCTTTTTTATAAAATATGTTCAAAGACAAATTATTATAAGCTTTCATAAAACAAATTAAAGTTTAATCTTATAATTTGTTAAAATTCATTAATCATTTACCACAAAATTGGCTACAGAAAAAAATCAATAGCGATGAAAAAAAATTTAACAAAAAATATTTATAAAACACCTGTCTAATTTAATAAATTCCTCATAGTTCATTTAAACACATACTTAGCAAAAAACAGTTTATCATTATCTTGCTGTTGCTACTGTTCTCACTCCTCTTTACTAGAACTAAAATATTTTTGATTAATTTCTTACGTTAAACGTCTCTATTAATTGGCAATTGCCAGACCCACAACTATCAGCCAAAGGAATTCTATTGAAAAGATTCAACAAAGATAATAGATAATTTGGTGGCAAAACATTTGGCATTAAGAATTTGTAAAGCCAAACGGCCACCACTAATATTAAATGGCTTTTCGAATGATTTATTATTGAACAATTAGTAGATTTAAAAAGATATTTCTGGGGATTTGCAAAAAGCTAATTATTCAATCAATTTTATTAAAATTATTTACAAAAATATTAATTTTTATCTGTTCATCTGTTTTTTTCTTCTTATAGAATTAGAACCAGCTTTTCCCTATAGAGATGTAACCATACAGAGAGGAGTAGATGCCAATGAACTATATGAAATACTAGGCGAAGTGGGCAGGTGAGTTTTTAATTTTCTAAATTATTTTTAATTTTAAAAAATTTCCTTTTTTATAAATTTTATTCTAAACTATTGATATTCCCACTTTTTTCAGAGGCAAATTTGGCACTGTTTATAAATGTCAGGATAAAAGTAACAATTTAAAATTGGCTGCCAAATTTGTACCCATACCGAAGCGTGAAGATCGTCGTAATGTTGAACGTGAAGTGGAAATTATGAATTCGTTGCAGCATCATTTGATTATACAATTATATGCGGCGTATGAATATCAGAAAATGATGTGTGTCGTCCAGGAATTGTAAGAATGAGCTTTTTAAAATTTTTTATTTGTTAGAAACTTTTTTGTAAAAAGCACCTAAAGTAGGGTATAAAATGTATAAAAAGCTTGCTTTAGGGAATTTTATTATTTGAGACTATTTTTCAAAAGCTTTTATATTTATTATAGAAATACGAAAGCTATTCTTAAAAATCTTTTCAACAATTTCTATTAAAATGTAAAAATCTTTTAAAAAGTTTTAAAACTTTAATTTAAAGATATAATATTTTTGTTAGAAAGCTTTATATCTTTCATTAGAAAGCTTTTAATCCTTATTTAGAAAGCTTTTAATCTTTCTTTAGAAAGCTTTTAATCTTTCTTTAGAAAGCTTTTAATCTTTCTTTAAAGAGCTTTTAATCTTTCTCTAGAAAGCTCTTAATCTTTCACTGGAAAGCATTAGTTGTTAGAAAACTTTTAGTCTTTCATTAGAAATCTTTTAATCTTTCACGGGAAAGCTTAAAGGAATCGTTAGAAAGCTTTTAATCTTTCATTATAAAGCTTTTAATATTTCGTTAGAAAGCTTTTTTTTCATTAGAAAACTTTTAATATTTCGTTAAAAAGCTTTTAATCTTTAGTCAGAAAGCTTTTATTAGAAAGCTCTTGAGAAAACAATTTTTTAAGCTCTTGATAAAAATTATTTTAATTATTTTTAACTTTAAAAATCGTTTTTTTAAATTTTTGTTAAAAAGCTTTTCAATACTTTGTTAAAAAGTTTTTTAAAGTTTTTTTTTTAAATCTTTCATTAAAAGTATTTAAATTTTCTTTAAAAAGCTTTTTGAAGCTTTTGAATATATTTTGTTGAAAAGTTCTTTTAAGCTTTTGCTTAAAATTGATTTAAAAAATGTGTTTTAAACATTTCTTGAAAGCTCTTGTGAAACGTTTTTTAAGCTTTCATTAAAATGCTTTTGCTCAAAAGCTGTTTTAAGTTTTTTTAAATTTTTTTGGTGGGAAGTATTTTAAAGCTTTCTAAACCTTCATAGATTTCTAAAGAATCTATGAAGGTTTAGTTAAATAGCTTATTTAAGCTTTTTGTTATTTGATAAATGTGTTTCTTAAAGATTTTGTTCAAAAGTTCTTTTAGACTTTTGCTTAAAATGGTTTTAAAAAATGTGTTTTAAGCATTTCTTAAGAATCTTTTTGAAAAAAGTTGTTTAAGCTTTTATTAAAACACTTTTGTTCAAAAGCTGATTTGTTCAAAAGCTGATTTAAGATTTGTTCTTAAAAAGCTTATTTAAGTTTTTGTAAAAATGCTTTTTAATAAAAGTCTTTCTTAAAAGTTTTTCTTTTGCATACCTTTTGTTGAAAATTTCTATTAAGCTTTTGATTAAAATGGTTTTAAAAAAAGTTTTTTAAGCTTTTCTTAAGAATCTTTCTGAAAGCTCTATTGCAGCTTTTTGTAAAAAAAGTTTTTAAAATTGTTTAGCTTTTTTAAAGCTTTATACAAAAAATGTTTTTAAACTTTAATTAAATTGTTTAAAAACTCAATTAGTAAAACGTTTTTTTATATATGAGAAAATAAGAAGCTTTCATTAACAAGTTTCATTTCTTAAAGAACATAAGGCTGATATTAAAAAGCTTTAAAGTTTTTCTTAAACAATAGCTATATATTCTAAAGTTTTCTTTAAAGTTTTTTATCAAAGCTTTACAATTTTCCATAAAGGAGATTTAAACTTTTTCAAAGCTTTTTTAAAAAGCATTTGAAAGCTGTAATTTAGAGTCTTTAATAAAAGAATGTTTAGAGGCTTTAAATAAATGGCTTCTGGCAGTTTTTTCCAAATAACTTTTAAAAGCTTTTAAGAAATTTTATTTAAATTAAGATTTTGTTAATATTTTTACTTAAAAGCTTTACTTAAAAGCAAAAAGCCTAATTTGAATAAAGAATGGCAGAGTTGGTATTAAATTGTTTCACGAGAAACTCAGCATTTCAAGTATCAAAACTTTATTTTAAAACATTCCATAGAAAAGCTTTCTCAAAGCATTCATTAAGTTTATAAAAAATTTAATTAATTGCTTAGTTGTGAGACAATATTGGCAAACCAAAAATCTTTTTTTAACCTTTAATATCAAATGCAAACTTGAGCTTTAATTTAAGCTTTTTTAAAATGCTCTCTTGTGTTTTTCATTATTTCTTTGTTTTTATTCAAATAAAATAAATAATTTAACAATTGCAGTGTAAAAAGGTCTGCTGTATTTTTCAATTAGAAAAGGGAACTCATTAGTGGTTTGCGATTAAAGCTTAAAAGTTCTTGATCGGTCTGTTTCTTAATAAAAACCTAAACCATGTGTTTCAAAATTATGGCAGAAAAATTAAAGAAAATTATACATTTTGCCTTTAATGTGAATATAAGATTTGCTCCTTTCTTAGTTATACGCATAGAATTTATGGAAAATAACAATAAAAGAGAAGTTTTAAGGAAAAGTGTTAAAAATAAAAGAAAAAGTTTTAGAAAAAGAGTGTATAGTTGAAAAAGAAAACAACATTTGTTTGAAGCTGTTATTGTTTTTAAGTTTAAAACTATAATTAAGGTAAATTTAAGATTTTTTTTTTTAATTTATTTAATTGTTTGTAGATGATTGGCATTGATTAGTTTAATTGGCATTATTGTTAAAATATTTATATTATAATGTCTGAGTGTTTGTTCGATTTGAAGTCATAAGCAAAAATTTTAGTTAGAAATCGACATCAAAATATCTATTTGTTTAAAATTATTTGCTAGAATTTTAATTACTTAAAAATCAAATTCTATTTAAATGCAAATTTAGTTTTTATTAAACTATAAATTGTTCAATTATTAACAAATAACCCAGTAAAAAGTATTAGATTTCCAAACTAGTAGACAATAGGCAAAAACTTTATTAAATATTTATTCCAAATAATTTGTTGGTTTTCTTATAATTTCTAGAAATAAGTTTATGAAATCAAAATATTATTTCATTTTTATTGATTCTTTAAAATTTATGTCAACCTTGACCCAATTGTTGTACATTTTCTTAAAATCTACAAATTATAAAACAATATTTTTTCATTTTATAATTTCTCATTTTTCTTGTTTGAAATCCTTATGGTTTAATTTAATTTTAATAAATTTTCCAGTTGTGACCATAAAATAAATATTGTTACAACTCTCTCTAGTCCTCACAATGAAAAAAATACAAATTTATTCTTCTTATAGGAATTTTAAAGCAAAAACAAACAAACAGAAAAAAAACCGAAAGGAAAACATAAAAATATATTGAAAATAAAAGTTCAAAGTTATAGAAAATGAAGTTTATAAATTTTATAATGCAAAAAAAAAAAAAAATACATAAGAAAAACACAACATTCCATAAAAACTTAATAAATTTGTTTAAAAAAAGTTTTTAGAAAAAAATTGCTAACAAAATTTTTTCCGCATCGATATGGAACACTTAAATTTAATAGTTTAAATTGTGAGAGTGAACATCTAATATTAATTTGAATTGAAAAGCTTTAAAGCCTAAACATTTTATTTAAAAACTCTTGCAGTTACCGAGGAAAAACATTTAAATTTCAGAGTGTAATTCTTACTCTTAACAATATTTTAATTATAAACAACATGTCCTTATATAACAAGTAAATTGTTCATTTTCTAGCTTTTAGAAAATTTTGATACATTTTTATTTGCTGTTGACTCCATTTATGACCAAACGTAGATCTGAACCAGAACTGAACTAGAAATGAACTAGAACTGAACTAGAACTGAACTAGAACTGAACTAGAACTGAACTAGAACTGAACTAGAACTGAACTAGAACTGAACTAGAACTGAACTAGAACTGAACTAGAACTGAAACTAGAACTGAACTAGAACTGAACTAGAACTGAACTAGAACTGAACTAGAACTGAACTAGAACTGAACTAGAACTGAACTAGAACTGAACTAGAACTGAACTAGAACTGAACTAGAACTGAACTAGAACTGAACTAGAACTGAACTAGAACTGAACTAGAACTGAACTAGAACTGAACTAGAACTGAACTAGAACTGAACTAGAACTGAACTAGAACTGAACTAGAACTGAACTAGAACTGAACTAGAACTGAACTAGAACTGAACTAGAACTGAACTAGAACTGAACTAGAACTGAACTAGAACTGAACTAGAACTGAACTGAACTAGAACTGAACTAGAACTGAACTAGAACTGAACTAGAACTGAACTAGAACTGAACTGAACTGAACTGAACTGAACTGAACTGAACTAGAACTAGAACTGAACTAGAACTGAACTGAACTAGAACTGAACTAGAACTGAACTAGAACTGAACTAGAACTGAACTAGAACTGAACTAGAACTGAACTAGAACTGAACTAGAACTGAACTAGAACTGAACTAGAACTGAACTAGAACTAGAACTGAACTAGAACTGAACTAGAACTGAACTAGAACTGAACTAGAACTGAACTAGAACTGAACTAGAACTGAACTAGAACTGAACTAGAACTGAACTAGAACTGAACTAGAACTGAACTAGAACTGAACTAGAACTGAACTAGAACTGAACTAGAACTGAACTAGAAATGAACTAGAACTGAACTAGAACCGAAGTAGAACTGAACTAGAACTGAACTAGTACTGAAGTAGAACTGAACTAGAACTGAACTAGTACTGAACTAGAACTGAACTAGAAGATTTTCTGTAGTTTAAAGCTTTGGACTTTTCTAGAAAATTTATAATGTCATAAGATTTAAGCTTTAGATATTGCTGAAGTTTAAGGCTTTTATAAAACTTTTTAACATTTTTCTAAACCCTTTAAAGCCTTTTTATTTTAAATTATTTAATGGATTTATAATTTCTTGTTTATTTATCGGAATAATAAAAGCTTTTACTTATACATAGAAGCTTATTAAGGTTTTTAATATGTAAATGCTTTCAGAATGAATAGAACTGAACGGAAGAAAATTTGTAGAAGCTTTGGAATAAAAGCTTTGTAAAATACTGCTTTTAGAATCTCTTTAAAGTCTTTACGAAGTCTTTTTAGATGAATCGTGCCACAGTTATCCTTTCTCTGCTTTAACTTGCAATTTTAAATAATTTATATTTAAAAAGCTTTCTCCTGGTATTTTATATGTTTTATATCCTGCTTTAAATATAAACACTATTGAATTATAAGCTCTAAAAGTAAAGTAAATTTTTAAATATAGAGAGAAAGACTGAAAAAAATATTTAAAAATTCACTTGAAAAAACACCAACACAATGCAAACAAAAATATATTAAACAAAATTTTATCATCCTATAACAAAAAAAAAAAGATAAAATTTTGTTTAATATGAAAACACTATTAATGGAAGACCACAAACTATTCTCTTATATTATGTACAAAGTTATTAAAATATATTTTTTTAAATAGTTTAATTATAAAACAATTTTTTCATTATTTTACTACAAAAACTATTTAATGTTTTAAATTTCTTTTCAAATTTAAATTCTATAGAGTAGAAGGTGGTGAACTATTCGATCGTGTAGTGGATGATGAATTCGTTTTAACGGAACGTGTCTGTGTCGTCTTCATACGTCAGGTGTGTGAGGCCATGGAATTTATACATCGCAATAATATTTTACATTTAGATTTGAAACCAGAGAATATTTTGTGTTTAACCCAGGAGGGTAATCGCATTAAAATCATAGACTTTGGTTTAGCAAGAAAATTTGATCCAGACAAAAAACTACAGGTAGGTAAACAATAGCTTTGTGAGACATGTTTTGTTGTAAGTTGTTGTTTTTTTTTTAATCTTATTAACATATTTTGTAATAAACACCTTGTTAATTACATGCTTGTGTGGAATTTTTTATTTTCAGTTTTTAATTTGATTTTATTGTCTGTTTTTTAAGAAAGTCTTATAGAGAATGTTGTTTCCTTGAGTTTGTATTGGAACTAAAATATTTCCATAGTTCATTGTACATGTGACTTTAATTTGTATTTTTAATTTCATTTTATTTCTTTATTCACATACATACATATGTACATATATTCAGCTATAAAAAGCTAATTAAAAAGTTTAAATTCTTTGTTTTACAAGAAGCGGTGTCTTATAGAAATTTCTATTAACATAACCCAGCAAAATGTCTTGACTTAAGAGAAAGCTTTTGCATTAATTATAATCTAAAACTTTTGAAACAAATTGTATTTTTTGATATTTTTATTAGCAAAATTCCAAAAAATACCAGTATTAAGTTGAACCAAAAGTTTTACTTTTATGTGTACCTCCCTAATATTTTGTTTATAATATTTTTTATTGTAAGCTTTCTTTTTATTATGTTCAAGGGTGTTAAACAAAAACTTCTTGTCTTATTAACAATAAGAAGAGAAAAAAGCGAACTAAATTAAAAATTTGTTTGGGGTTAACTTTCTCGGTAAAAGGAGATAAAATTTTTAAGAAATTTCAAATTGAAATGCACCAAGTAAAATTAATTAAAAGCACCAAAACTTACAAAATTTTTTTAAAAGTTTAAGCTTTGTTAAAGCTTAAAGCTTTTGTAAAACTTTGATATTTAGAGCGTTTTTAAATCTTTAAGATTAAACATTTTTAAAGTTTTAAGATTCAAAGCTTTTTAAAGCTTTAAGATTTAGAGCTTTTTTGAAGTTTTAAGCTTCTTTAAACTTTGAGCATTTTTAAAGCTTTACGCTAGTTTAAAACTTTGAGATTTAGAACTTTTTTAAAGCTTTCAGATTTGTAGCTTTTTCTAAAACTTTGAGCTTTTTTGAAGCTTTTAGCTTTTTTAAACTTTGAGCATTTTTAATGTTTTAGGCTCTTTTAAAACTTTGAGCTTTTTTTGAAACATTACGAAATTTTATAAATTTTAGATCAATTGTAAAGCTTTATGTTTTTGGAGCTTTCAAGCTTTAACAAAACATTCAGATTTTTTACATTTTTAACCTTTTTTGTAAGTTTTTTTTAAAGCTTTTGGACATTTTTAAAGCCTTAGACATTTTTAAAGCATTAAGCTTTTTCTTAAATTTTTAACTTTTTTAAGCTTTTTAAAATCTTAGAACTTTTTAACACTTTTTAATATCTTAGGCTATTTTTAGCTTTTTTTAATCTTTTGACCTTTTGGTATTTTTTTAAAAAACTTTTAACGTTATTAAATTTTTTGAAAGCTTAAATTCTTTTGAAAGTTTTATGCTTTTTAAAGGCTTTAAGGTTTTTGAAACTTTTGAGCTTTTTGAAAGTTTAAACCTTTCTTAAAGGTTGATCTTTTTAAGGCTTTGTTTTTCTAAAGCTGTTAACTACTCTAAACCTTGAAGATTTTCTAAATTTCCTGAAGTTTTTTTTAAAGCTTAAACTATTTTTCAACATTAAATTGACTTAAAGCTTTCGGCATTTCATATTGTTAAGAATTTCTAAATTTCTAAGATCTTTTAAAGCTTTAAACCATTTTGTGGCTTTAAATTATTTCGTATTTTTGAGCTTTTCTAAAGCTTTAAGAGTTTTTTCAAATGCTTTCAGTTGTTCTTTAAGCTTTAGCCTTATAATGCTTAAAGCTTTCTTCAACTTTTAAAATTTAAAATTTCTAAGATCTTTCAAAACTTTAATCTATTTTGAGACTTAAAATTATTTATTAGTTTGAAGCTTTTCTAAACTTTTAAGCGTTTAATTTTTCTAATGTTTTAAGCTTTTCTAAAGCTTTAAGCTTTTGCTTTTCTTTAAGCTTAACCCTTTCTGTAGCTTAAAGCTTTCTTAAAATATAAAATTTTAGCACTTTTTTGGGTATATTAAAGCTTTAATATTTTCAGAGCTTTAAGCTCTATTCTAAACTTTAGCCATAAATTGTCAGTTTTATGTTAATCATATTAATTAAATCGTATTTGGAATCCTTTCGAGCTACAAGCTTAATTTGGATGTTTGGATTTGTTAAGCTTTAAGCTTTTTTAATGCAAATAAAGAATTTAAGTAATAAAAATATTAAAAGTATTACTATTACATTGTGAGACCAAACAAAAAAGTCATGACTACTTTCCGTAGAGTATACAAGTTTCATTCTAGCTCAAGGAAGCTCATTTCAACAATTTTACCCCACTGTTGGGTAGCAACATTTTAATCTCAACTTTATTTCAAGTTAATTTTCTTTGTGAAATTGCAACAATTAAAATTTAATTCTCTTTCTTTTTAATACATATGAAAATAACAAAAAAAATTGTATTTCTTTGTTCACCATTTCCATTTCCCCCTCTTTTCAGATTCTGTTTGGCACACCGGAGTTTGTAGCACCAGAAGTAGTTAATTTTGATAGTATATCGTATGCCACAGACATGTGGAGTGTGGGTGTCATAACTTATGTGCTGTAAGTACTGCTTTTTTATATTTTTAAAAAAAATTAAATTGTTTAATTATAAAAAACAAAAATTTAATAAAACCAAATATAGTTTAATTAAAAACACCTTTTAGTATGTTTGGATTTAAGTTTAAGTGATTGAGAGAAACAATTAAGAAAAACAAAACAATTGAAATCACAGTGTTTGTAGCAACTAATTAAAAAGTTGCCTTAATTAATCCCTAAAGAAATCAAACTGACTGCATGTTACTTGTTAGTAGTTTGATATTTTTATTTTGGGCGATTTTTCTCTTACCTCAAATAGCAAATTGTTTTAGTCTTATGTGAATTTAGGTTTAAGCTTAAAGCTATTTAATTAATTTTTGTCTTAATTTTGTATTGTTATATTATATTTCTTACATTTTCTTATTCTTCTTTCTATATTTTCATATAAATGTGGACTATTTCCTCAAAATACCAACACACAATTTTCATTATTGTTTGGTACTTTAACCCCCTGCTTGCCGTCATGTTTTTTTTTTTTTTTTGGATTGGAATGACTATTACTAAAAATGACTTAACAACAATTACTACAATACAAAATGGTTGAATGAATAAATGAACGTACAACATCAACAATTACATCCTTGTAATATGTATCCAACAACAACAATAACAACATGATAATTATAACCTCCTCTATAACATGTTTAAACCACCTCCGCCAACAACGACAACAACAACTACTTGGTCTTGCAACAACAATTTTGCTTCATTTAACTTGGTTACCAAAACCATACATGAAAATGAACAACCGACCAACCAACCAACCATTATCATCCACAAATGCTTTTGTTTCTTTTCCCTCTTCTCTTCTCCTTTTATCCTGTCTCTATAAAACTAAACAGCATCTCTGGCCTGTCGCCCTTTATGGGTGAAACTGATATCGAAACAATGGCAAATGTAACAATTGCCAAGTATGATTTTGAAGATGAATCCTTTGCCAATGTATCGCCTGAGGGTATTGATTTCATATCAAAACTATTAGTAAAAGACTTGAGGTAAGCGCTAAGCTTTTTATAGCTTTTTTAAATGTTTGCTGACTTTTTCGCTTAATTAATTTCTCTTTTAGCACCCGCATGACAGCTGCCCAGTGTTTGAAACATAAATGGTTACAGAGACGTCCTAAAAGTCCGCCCAAAGTTGCGCCGAAACCTTTAAATATACCACCGGTCCAATTGAAAGCTAGCACTCCTTCACCTATACCGCCAAATATCGATAATGATGATAGTTCAGTCACGTTGACTCATGAAGATGAGGAAGAGGATTCGTCGGGGGTAAGTTTTTTTAAAGAAGAAAAGCTTTGTTAAAGGTTTTTCTTAAATTTTATTAAAGAAGTTCTATCGAAAGCTTTAAAGTTATATAATAAAATCTATTTCTGAAAACGTATTTATGAACGAACTTTAAACTTTTCGAAAACTTTAAAAAGCTTTTTAGAAAATGCTTAAAATAGCTTTTTAGGAAAAGCTTTAAATAGATTCTTAGGAAAAGCTTTAAATAGCTTTTTAGGAAAAGCTTTAAATAGCTTTTTAGGAAAGGCTTTAAATAGCTTTTTAGGAAAAGCTTTAAATAGCTTTTTAGGAAAAGCTTTAAAAAAGCTTTTCAGAAAACGTTTTAAGATGCTTTTAAGAAAAAGCTTCTCATAACATAATTATTATATTGTTAAGCGTTTCCTAAAAGCTTTTCATAAAAAAATTCCTAAGTTTTTTTTAGTTTTTTATAAACAACTTTTTCAAAAAGCTTTGTCTAAGTTGTTTTTATTTTGAAAAAGCTTTTCATACCATCATTATTTAAAAAGCCTTTCATTAAAAAAATTCCAAAAGCATTTAAATTTTTTTCGACACTTTTCATAAAGATGTATTTTAAAGGTTTTCATAAAATTGATTTTCCAAAAAGCTTTTAATAATAATTTACTTTCTAAAAAAAGCTGTTGAAGCTTTTTATCCACTTTTCTTAAATGAGTTCTTATCATTGCTAGTTTATTTTTAAGAAAGCTTTATAGAAATTTTTTTCTAAAAAATCTTATTTCAAGCGTTTTCTTGTAAAAATTATTTTTTTTTATAAAAAGCTGTTGAATGTTTTTGATCACAAAAGCTTTTTCCCAAAAATCTCATTTTGAACTTTTATTATAAAAAGCTAAAAAAGAAAGCTTTTCATAAAAATGTGTATGTTTTTTTAATTGAAAAAGCTCTTTATAGTAGTTATAAATTAAAAGCACATAATATATGATTTTTTCCAAAAATAAATAATTTTTTCCAAAAAGCTTTTCATATGAAGAGCTTTTCCCAAAAAGTTTTTCAAAAGAGCTTTTCCTCTAAAGTTTCCATAAAACGAGAATTTTTAAAAAAAGCTTAAAAAAGAATTTATTTAAAAAGCTTCTCAGAAAAGAGCTTTCTTAACGAACTTGAAGAGCTTTTCAGATAACTAGTTTCTTAAAATTCCCATAATATGAGCTTTTCATGAAAGTAACATTTTCCAAAAACCTTTTAATAAAAAGAGCTTTTCCCAAAAAGCTTTTCATAAAAGCATTGGAAAAAGAAAAGCTTATAGTTGAAAAGCTGTATCATAAAAATTCTTACTATTTTGTAATCAGAGCTTTAATGCTAATTTGAATTGAATGAATTTAAAACTTTTAACAAAAGTTTAAATTTATTTAATTTAGATTGAGAAAACAAAAAAGCTTTTACTTCAAACTTTAATCAACCATATTACATTGCAAGCCATTCATTGACTGACAAAAATGTCTTTCTTTACAAAATCCTTAGATGAGTATTTTTCCTTAACACAGCCATTCAAAGATTTTGAAGGCTTTTGTTAAAATGTTCTCACTTATTGTACGGAAAACACGACATACTCTTGCAACATGTATTTTAATTAAAGAAATGAAAAAAGTTGTATAATAAAACTTGCCGCTTACAGACAAAAACAAATTGTATAACTCGCAGACATGTCTTAAAGAATAATAGATGTTGTCTTAATAGTTTCCTTTTTTCTGTTTTTGTTTCTTATCCTCTTTTTCATATTCTTTGGCATGTTCAACTTTAACTTATAAGCAGACAAAGGAATTGGACACAACAAAGGATAATCTTAAAAATTTCATAGAACGCTGGGAGGAACATCCCAATAGTCCGTATGTGTTTGATGTCGAGGGAAATGTAATTGCGCCGCTAAGCGAAACTGAATATAAACAGCCCCATGGTGCTGACAGTATATCATCGTCAAGAGGTGAGTACTGTTGTTTAATGACAGCAAACATTACAACAACAACTACACCTAAAATAACAACAACAGCCACACTAACAAAAGCTACAACAACAACACAGTCCAACAGTCTATCAGCAGCCACTGAACGGAGACAACAACAGCAACAACAATTAATAAGAAGCAAATAATACTAGCAACAACAAACTTTTGAAAGCTTTTAAATCTAATTTTCAATTTTAAGAAAATTAAAACAATTCTGTGCCTTAAACTAGTCCGTTAAATTCAAAAGCTTGGGTTTGTCGGAAATTTTGATTGCAACACGAATTTTGTTGTTAACATTTATAAATAATTATTTGTTTTAGTAACTTAAGACCAAGTTTAAGTTTGTGTTGTGTTCCTTTTTGGGGAAAAAAACATTGTTTTTTTTTTTTTTAATTTTTACTTACAAAATTTCTTTACTAACCCCAATTACAACTTCTTTTGTATTTATATATTTTTTATTAATTTTTGTATATTTTTTTTACTTTTATGTCTTACAATTTATTGTACTGTGATAAGTATTTGTTGTTTTCTTTACTGGTTAGAAAAACAAAACTACTACTAAGAAATTAATAATAAAAAAATTCATAGATTTTTAACCTCTTTCTGTTTATTTGTTGTTTGTGTCTTTTATACCAAAAAATAATTCTATGTTTACTTTTTCTGGGGAAAGACAAAAAGAAAACATGAAAAATATATCATGATGTTGCTTATAACTTGTTTTTATTTTTGTGAACTTTTCCATATAAAGACATGGTGTACGTGGAACTCTATAGCAAGCATTCAGAGACAAACATTTGTTATTAATTCATAATTGGCAATATAAAAAAAGCTCTTACTGAAAACTTTTTTTTCAGTTCTAGTTCAGTTCTAGTTCAGTTCTAGTTCAGTTCTAGTTCAGTTCTAGTTCTAGTTCAGTTCTAGTTTCAGTTTCTATTTCAGTTCTAGTTCAGTTCTAGTTCAGTTCTAGTTCAGTTTTAGTTCAGTTCTAGTTCTGTTCAGTTCTAGTTCAGTTTCTAGTTCAGTTCTAGTTCAGTTCTAGTTCAGTTCTAGTTCAGTTCTAGTTCAGTTCTAGTTCAGTTCTAGTTCAGTTCTAGTTCAGTTCTAGTTCAGTTCTAGTTCAGTTCTAGTCAGTTCTAGTTCAGTTCTAGTTCAGTTCTAGTTCGTTCTAGTTCAGTTCTAGTTCAGTTCTAGTTCAGTTCTAGTTTCAGTTTCTAGTTCAGTTCTGGTTCAGTTCTGGTTCAGTTCTAGTTCAGTTCTAGTTCAGTTCAGTCAGTTCTAGTTCAGTTCTAGTTCAGTTCTAGTTCAGTTCTAGTTCAGTTCTAGTTCAGTTCTAGTCAGTTCTAGTTCAGTTCTAGTTCAGTTCTAGTTCAGTTCTAGTTCAGTTCTAGTTCAGTTCTAGTTCAGTTCTAGTTCAGTTCTAGTTCAGTTCTAGTTCAGTTCTAGTTCAGTTCTAGTTCAGTTCTAGTTCAGTTCTAGTTCAGTTCTAGTTCAGTTCTAGTTCAGTTCTAGTTCAGTTCTAGTTCAGTTCTAGTTCAGTTCTAGTTCAGTTCTAGTTCAGTTTCTAGTTCAGTTCTAGTTCAGTTCTAGTTCAGTTCTAGTTCAGTTCTAGTTCAGTTCTAGTTCAGTTCTAGTTCAGTTCTAGTTCAGTTCTAGTTCAGTTCTAGTTCAGTTCTAGTTCAGTTCTAGTTCAGTTCTAGTTCAGTTCTAGTTCAGTTCTAGTTCAGTTCTAGTTCAGTTCTAGTTCAGTTCTAGTTCAGTTCTAGTTCAGTTCAGTTCTAGTTCAGTTCTAGTTCAGTTCTAGTTCAGTTCTAGTTCAGTTCTAGTTCAGTTCTAGTTCAGTTCTAGTTCAGTTCTAGTTCAGTTCTAGTTCAGTTCTAGTTCAGTTCTAGTTCAGTTCTAGTTCAGTTCTAGTTCAGTTCTAGTTCAGTTCTAGTTCAGTTCTAGTTCAGTTCTAGTTCAGTTCTAGTTCAGTTCTAGTTCAGTTCTAGTTCAGTTCTAGTTCAGTTCTAGTTCAGTTCTAGTTCAGTTCTAGTTCAGTTCTAGTTCAGTTCTAGTTCAGTTCTAGTTCAGTTCTAGTTCAGTTCTAGTTCAGTTCTAGTTCAGTTCTAGTTCAGTTCTAGTTCAGTTCTAGTTCAGTTCAGCTAGTTCAGTTCTAGTTCAGTTCTAGTTCAGTTCTAGTTCAGTTCTAGTTCAGTTCTAGTTCAGTTCTAATTCAGTTCTAGTTCAGTTCTAGTTCAGTTCTAGTTCAGTTCTAGTTCAGTTCTAGTTCAGTTCTAGTTCAGTTCTAGTTCAGTTCTAGTTCAGTTCTAGTTCAGTTCTAGTTCAGTTCTAGTTCAGTTCTAGTTCAGTTCTAGTTCAGTTCTAGTTCAGTTCTAGTTCAGTTTCTAGTTCAGTTCTAGTTCAGTTCTAGTTCAGTTCTAGTTCAGTTCTAGTTCAGTTCTAGTTCAGTTCTAGTTCAGTTCTAGTTCAGTTCTAGTTCAGTTCTAGTTCAGTTCTAGTTCAGTTCTAGTTCAGTTCTAGTTCAGTTCTAGTTCAGTTCTAGTTCAGTTCTAGTTCAGTTCTAGTTCAGTTCTAGTTCAGTTCTAGTTCAGTTCTAGTTCAGTTCTAGTTCAGTTCTAGTTCAGTTCTAGTTCAGTTCTAGTTCAGTTCTAGTTCAGTTCTAGTTCAGTTCTAGTTTCAGTTCTAGTTCAGTTCTAGTTCAGTTCTAGTTCAGTTCTAGTTCAGTTCTAGTTCAGTTCTAGTTCAGTTCTAGTTCAGTTCTAGTTCAGTTCTAGTCAGTTCTAGTTCAGTTCTAGTTCAGTTCTAGTTCAGTTCTAGTTCAGTTCTAGTTCAGTTCTAGTTCAGTTCTAGTTCAGTTCTAGTTCAGTTCTAGCTCAGTTCTAGTTCAGTTCTAGTTCAGTTCTAGTTCAGTTCTAGTTCAGTTCTAGTTCAGTTCTAGTTCAGTTCTAGTTCAGTTCTAGTTCAGTTCTTTCTAGTTCAGTTCTAGTTCAGTTCTAGTTCAGTTCTAGTTCAGTCTAGTTCAGTTCTAGTTCAGTTCAAGTTCAGTTCTAGTTCAGTTCTAGTTCAGTTCTAGTTCAGTTCTAGTTCAGTTCTAGTTCAGTTCTAGTTCAGTTCTAGTTCAGTTCTAGTTCAGTTCTAGTTCAGTTCAGTTCTAGTTCAGTTCTAGTTCAGTTCTAGTTCAGTTCTAGTTCAGTTCTAGTTCAGTTCTAGTTCAGTTCTAGTTCAGTTCTAGTTCAGTTCTAGTTCAGTTCTAGTTCAGTTCTAGTTCAGTTCTAGTTCAGTTCTAGTTCAGTTCTAGTTCAGTTCTAGTTCCGTTCGCGTTCAGTTCTAGTTCAGTTCTAGTTCAGTTCTAGTTCCGTTCGCGTTCAGTTCTAGTTCAGTTCTAGTTCAGTTCTAGCTCAGTTCTAGTTCAGTTCTAGTTCAGTTCTAGTTCAGTTCTAGTTCAGTTCTAGTTCAGTCTTTATTCTAGTTCACTTCTAGTTCAGTTCTAGTTCAGTTCTAGTTCAGTTCTAGTTCAGTTCTAGTTCAGTTCTAGTTCAGTTCTAGTTCAGTTCAGTTCAGTTCAGTTATGTTCTAGTTCTGTTCTAGTTCTGTTCTAGTTCGTTATAGTTCTATTTGTTCTATTCTGTTTATTCTAGTTCTATTCTAGTTCCGTTCTAGTTCTGTTCTAGTTCTATTCTAGTTCTGTTCTAGTTCCGTTCTAGTTCTGTTCTAGTTCTATTCTAGTTCTGTTCTAGTTCTGTTTTATTTAAACATTTTAAAACTTTTAGGTTGTTGAATGTTATGTTTTACTTTTTCAGTATTTAAACAATTTTATAAACAAGTAAATGTAATGTAGACTTGAAAAATAAGGTCATTTATGTATTTAGCTAAAAACAAAAATGGTGAAGGGTATAGAGTACTCGTCTTAGCCTTGTGTTTAATTCTTACTTGTTGTTATTATATTATTTTTTACGTATGTATATGTTTTTATATGAAATAAATGTGTATGGTTCTTCTTACTATATAAAATACTTGTAAGCTGTTTTTAAGCGCCTTAAGCATAAATATACTGATATCACTTCTGTGTCACATACAAAAAGAAAATAATAACGAAAAAGAAATGAAATCAAAAAAGCTAAAAAATACATCAACAACAAACCAGCCATGACTACAGATCCTTAATATTGCAACATTATGATGAAATAAAAATCGCCAGCAACAGCTACAACAACAACCCTAGACTCCTGCAATCAAAACAAAAATATTAAGAAAAAAATACTGTGCAACCCACCAACATTTAATACTTTAGACAAAAAAAAACATGTATTTGTATATAACGTTATGAAAGGACACTGATTGCAACAAGGATTTATTCTCTACATATTTTCCCTGCAATTTTGTTTTCTTTTTTTCAAAATTTTTGTTTCAATTTGTTGTTTATTTCAAGCTAAAATACACTGAAAAGAGAATGTAATCTTTGAAATATTGAAACAATTTTGAAATTCGATTGACCGGATATAAAACTCTCATTATCCTTTCCTGTTCTCAGTGTATTTGTTTGTCTCTGGCTCTGGTTACTTTTTTTCATATTATCACCCCTACATGAACACAAATTTATTCTTTCTCTCATATCTTCTTATATGTATTTGATCAGTATTTTGTTCATTTTTATTTCTCGCAGTAAAATGGAGTCCTTTTTGTTCTGTGTATGTGTGTTTACATAAAAATCTAAGTATTTTCAATTATAATTTTCTTTATCACACTTTCTTTTTGTTTGTTTATGTTTTTATTATGTTTTTCTCTATAATTTTTGTTGTTGTTAATCTTCTAAATCATTCTCTTTATTTTTTTTGTTTTCTCTTTACTGTATTTAAGTTTATAAACATACTTGTATACAAATTGCTACACAAATACTACTTCTGCAACATAATCTCTGAACAATAAATTCGTTTTATTAAAATCCAAAAAAAGACAAAAAAAAAATCTGAAAATAACTAAAATGCATTGAAAAAGATATATTCAAAAAAAATCTAAACAAAACCTAAATGAGCCAAAGAAAAGCAAAAACAGTAACAAATAAACACTTTGCATTAGGGTCAAAAGGAAAGTTTTTGTTTTCCTCTCATTTCAAGGTAAGATGAGCTTAATACTTAATAAAGTGTTTTCAACCAAAAAATAATATTTTAAATAGCACACTATTATTAGTATTTGCAGTAATATTAAATGCACAAAATTCCAAAAAAAAACACAAACAAAATATGTTACTTACATTTACATGAATTCATCACATTGTACCCAGAAAATTGTCTGTAAAAAGAAGAAAAGTTTTAAAGTTTAAAAAAGCTTTTAATTAAAACATAAACATAAAAACATAAGACACAAGATTGGAAAACCATTCTCTTGATCCATAAAATATATGAAAATTTTCAGTTTAATCTAAAATTTCCTTAGTTTATTCTACTTCAATTCTATTCTAGTTCTCTTCTAGTTTTGTTACAGTTCTAGTTCAGTTCTAGTTCAGTTCTAGTTCAGTTCTAGTTCAGTTCTAGTTCAGTTCTAGTTCAGTTCTAGTTCAGTTCTAGTTCAGTTCTAGTTCAGTTCTAGTTCAGTTCTAGTTCAGTTCTAGTTCAGTTCTAGTTCAGTTCTAGTTCAGTTCTAGTTCAGTTCTAGTTCAGTTCTAGTTCAGTTCTAGTTCAGTTCTAGTTCAGTTCTAGTTCAGTTCTAGTTCAGTTCTAGTTCAGTTCTAGTTCAGTTCTAGTTCAGTTCTAGTTCAGTTCTAGTTCTGTTTAGTTCTGTTCTAGTTCTGTTCTAGTTCTGTTCTAGTTCTGTTCTAGTTCTGTTCTAGTTCTGTTCTAGTTCTGTTCTAGTTCTGTTCTAGTTCTGTTCTAGTTCTGTTCTAGTTCTGTTCTAGTTCAGTTCTAGTTCAGTTCTAGTTCAGTTCTAGTTCTGTTCTAGTTCTGTTCTAGTTCTGTTCTAGTTCTGTTCTAGTTCTAGTTCTGTTCTAGTTCTGTTCTAGTTCTGTTCTAGTTCTGTTCTAGTTCTGTTCTAGTTCTGTTCTAGTTCTGTTCTAGTTCTGTTCTAGTTCTGCTCTAGTTCTATTCTATTTCTGTTCTAGTTATATTCTAGTTGTCTTCTAGTTCTGTTCTAGTTCTCTTCTTCTAGTAATCTTCTTGTTCTAGTTCGAGAACGTTCGAGAGCGTTCTCTTTTTTACAGGCAATTTAAGTGGCACTTAACATATAAATTGGGTTTTTATAAAAAATATCGCTTTCTTTATCACATTTTCTCTCTATATCATTCTCTCTTTTGTACTCTCTCTCTCTATCTTTCACTTTAAATATCATCTGAAACTAAATGTTGTTCGTTTCTTTTTTGGTATTTAATTTAAAATATAAATGTAAAAAAGCTTATATATATCCTTTGTAAAAGTGTCCTTTCCTACGTATAAAAGCTATTGTCTAAATTTTAGTATAAAAGCTTAAATAAAGCTATCAAAGCTTTAAAACACACAAATTCTTTAGAACTTTTTTCATATAATTAATAACCTATTTCTTTTTAATATTTGTTTTCTTTATATAGTATGTTCACCCTCGCCTTGTGAATCGCTGGCCACCGTAACCGATGATGAAACTGCTCATTTCTCAGAAATTGTCGAAGAAGAGGAACCTCCTACACCCATTAATGAGTCCAAGGAAAAACTTTTCCCTACTTCCAGCGGCACAGCAACTCCAACACCTTCTATGCAAAATCTGAATTTCGGTTATCCTTTCGGCAGTAAAGTGGATGAATTTAATGGCAGCAGCATGAATTTACAGCAACGTTCTTTGAAATCCTATCTTCATACATTCGATCGTAGAAATTCGGATACAAATTATTTGTTGGGCAGAAGATCTTCAGGAGAACGTGTTAATTTGGCAGATGAGATTAAAAAACTATCCGATCATTTGTTAATGTTGGCGGAAATTAATAATAAATTCAGCAAAGATGTGCAAAAACAACAGGGTGAGGAGGAAAGTCAAGACAAGGAGGAGAAGAAGTCCAAGAAAACCAAAGAAACGGGAGCTGAAAAGAAAACTACAACAAAAACATCTTCCTCCAAAACAAAAGACACTAGTAGTGAAGTTAAGTCTTCTAAAGTCAGCAGCCATAAAACCAGCAGCACTGCTACTACCTCCAGCAAAACTGTGGAAAATTCAATGACAACAACAACATCCTCGAATTCTAGCAGTTTCTTTAGTAACTTAAATCCCGGCAAAAGTCGGACTAGTACATTAAGCTGGCGTCTGCAGCAATCCATAGAGGAGACACCCAAACTAAATACCACCAGCTGGTCCAATAAATCTACAGCCACCAGCAGTTCCTCCACTACCACCAAAAAGTCCTCAGTCAGCACTATTTCAACGCAAAATACCAAAACCTCCAATGATCACAAAATCCAGGAGGCGGCCAGCATAAGAAGAGCCAAATTCCGTATCAATCAAATGAGTCGTGATGTACCCATAGGCCTGCCCGACACCCATCAAAGTGTTAATCTAGAAGAGGCCGCCAACAATACCAAAGATTGTCTCTTACATTTGCTGGAAAAGTATAATGACACCAAAACCCGCAATCCCCTGGGACGTCATCAAAGTATCAGTGTAGACTGCAATGTACGCGATAATTTGGAATATCGTTCCATGAGTTCGATAAATGCCTTCTTTCAAAGACATAACAACAATGGAGAAATGGTAAAACAATTACAGGCTCAATTAAAGGAAAAAACTGGTGAATCATAATATGTCCCCAGGGGTCTAACTACACCCGAAGGTGTACAATATGGATATTAAATTTGCATGAATAAATTCCTAGTCTTTAATAGTTTAATTCAAATAATGCTCAAAATCTAAACAACAACAACAACAAAAAACAGTTATTTAATGCTTAAGCAAATCTTTAAAATCTATTTGTTAATTAAATATTTTATTATTTATTTTAGTTAGATTTGTAAATAATAATAAAATGATTTATTAATAAAGAATGTGAATTTTAAATTGTGGAACCAAAACGGCTGTAGTTTCTTAAATAACGCTTTTATTGAGAAAATAGTGAAAGTCTGTGATCACTCATATATTTCACCAAAAAATCGATTTTTATATGAATAAATCTAAAATCGATTTTGATATGAAAAATCTAAAATCGGCTGTAGTTTCTTAAATAACGCTCCAATCGAGAAACTAGTGAAAATCTGTGATCACTCATATATTTCACCAAAAAATCGATTTTTATATGAATAAATCTAAAATCGGCTGTAGTTTCTTAAATAACGCTCCAATCGAGAAAATAATGAAAATCTGTGATCACTCATATATTTCACCAAAAATCGATTTTTATATTTTTATTTTTATATGAAAAACCTTAAAACGACTGTAGTTTCTTAAATAACGCTCCAATCAAGAAAATAGTGAAAATCTGTGATCACTTATATATTTCAATAAAAATCGATTTTTATATGAAAAACCTTAAGTCGACTGTAGTTTTTTAAATAACGCTCCAATCGAGAAAATAATGAAAATCTGTGATCACTCATATATTTCACTAAAAATCGATTTTTAAATGAAAAATCTAAAATCGGCTGTAGTTTCTTAAATAACGCTCCAATCAAGAAAATAGTGAAAATCTGTGATCACTCATATATTTCACTAAAAATCGATTTAGTTTCTTAAATAACGCTCCAATCAAGAAAATAGTGAAAATCTATGATCACTCATATATTTCACCAAAAATCGATGAAAAACCTTAAAACGGCTGTAGTTTCATAAATAACGCTCCAATCAAGAAAATAGTGAAAATCTGTGATCACTTATATATTTCACCAAAAATCGGTTTTTATATGAAAAACCTTAAAACGGCTGTAGTTTCTTAAATAACGCTCCAATCAAGAAAATAGTGAAAATCTGTGATCACTTATATATTTCACAAAAATCGATTTTTATATGAAAAATCTAAAAACGGCTGTAGTTTCTTAAATAACGCTCCAATCGAGAAACTAGTGAAAATCTGTGATCACTAATATATTTCACCAAAAATCGATTTTCATATGAAAAATCTAAAATCGGCTGTAGTTTCTTAAATAACGCTCCAATCAAGAAAATAGTGAAAATCTGTGATCACTCATATATTTCACCAAAAATCGATTTTTATATGAAAAACCTTAAATCGTCTGTAGTTTCTTAAATAACGCTCCAATCAAGAAAATAGTGAAAATCTGTGATCACTCATATATTTCACCAAAAATCGGTTTTTATATGAAAAATCTGAAATCGGCTGTAGTTTCTTAAATAACGAAAATAGTGAAAATCTGTGATCACTTATATATTTCACCAAAAATCGATTTTTAAATGAATAAATCTAAAATCGGCTGTAGTTTCTTAAATAACGCTCCAATCGAGAAAATAATGAAAATCTGTGATCACTCATATATTTCACCAAAAATCGATTTTTATATGAAAAACCTTAAAACGACTGTAGTTTCTTAAATAACGCTCCAATCAAGAAAATAGTGAAAATCTGTGATCACTTATATATTTCACTAAAAATCGATTTTTAAATGAAAAATCTAAAATCGGCTGTAGTTTCTTAAATAACGCTCCAATCAAGAAAATAGTGAAAATCTGTGATCACTCATATATTTCACTAAAAATCGATTTAGTTTCTTAAATAACGCTCCAATCAAGAAAATAGTGAAAATCTATGATCACCAAAAATCGATGAAAAACCTTAAAACGGCTGTAGTTTCATAAATAACGCTCCAATCAAGAAAATAGTGAAAATCTGTGATCACTTATATATTTCACCAAAAATCGGTTTTTATATGAAAAACCTTAAAACGGCTGTAGTTTCTTAAATAACGCTCCAATCAAGAAAATAGTGAAAATCTGTGATCACTCTTATATTTCACCAAAATCGATTTTTATATGAAAAATCTAAAAACGGCTGTAGTTTCTTAAATAACGCTCCAATCGAGAAACTAGTGAAAATCTGTGATCACTAATATATTTCACCAAAAATCGGTTTTTATATGAAAAACCTTAAATCGGCTGTAGTTTCTTAAATAACGCTCCAATCGAGAAACTAGTGAAAATCTGTGATCACTTATATATTTCACCAAAAATCGATTTTTATATGAAAAATCTAAAAACGGCTGTAGTTTCTTAAATAACGCTCCAATCGAGAAACTAGTGAAAATCTGTGATCACTTATATATTTCACCAAAAATCGATTTTTATATGAAAAATCTAAAAACGGCTGTAGTTTCTTAAATAACGCTCCAATCGAGAAACTAGTGAAAATCTGTGATCACTAATATATTTCACCAAAAATCGATTTTCATATGAAAAATCTAAAATCAGCTGTAGTTTCTTAAATAACGCTCCAATCAAGAAAATAGTGAAAATCTGTGATCACTCATATATTTCACCAAAAATCGATTTTTATATGAAAAATCTAAATTCGGCTGTAGTTTCTTAAATAACGCTCCAATCGAGAAAATAGTGAAAATCTGTGATCACTCTTATATTTCACCAAAAATCGATTTTTATATGAAAAACCTTAAATCGGCTGTAGTTTCTTAAATAACGCTCAAATCGAGAAACTAGTGAAAATCTGTGATCACTCATATATTTCACCAAAAATCGATTTTTATATGAAAAATCTAAAATCGGCTGTAGTTTCTTAAATAACGCTCCAATCGAGAAAATAGTGAACATCTGTGATCACTCATATATTTCACCAAAAATCGATTTTTATATGAAAAATCTAAAATCGGCTGTAGTTTCTTAAATAACGCTCCAATCGAGAAAATAGTGAACATCTGTGATCATTCATATATTTCACCAAAAATCGATTTTTATATGAAAAATCTAAAATCGGCTGTAGTTTCTTAAATAACGCTCCAATCGAGAAAATAGTGAAAATCTGTGATCACTCATATATTTCACCAAAAATGGATTTTTATATGAATAAATCTAAAATCGGCTGTAGTTTCTTAAATAACGCCCCAATCAAGAAAATAGTGAAAATCTGTGATCACTCATATATTTCACCAAAAATCGATTTTTAAATGAAAAATCTAAAATCGGATGTAGTTTCTTAAATAACGCTTTAATCGAGAAAATAGTGAAAATCTGTGATCACTCATATATTTCACCAAAAATGGATTTTTATATGAATAAATCTAAAATCGGCTGTAGTTTCTTAAATAACGCTCCAATCGAGAAACTAGTGAAAATCTGTGATCACTTATATATTTCACCAAAAATCGATTTTTATATGAAAAATCTAAAAACGGCTGTAGTTTCTTAAATAACGCTCCAATCGAGAAACTAGTGAAAATCTGTGATCACTAATATATTTCACCAAAAATCGATTTTTATATGAAAAATCTAAAATCGGCTGTAGTTTCTTAAATAACGCTCCAATCGAGAAAATAGTGAAAATCTGTGATCACTCATATATTTCACCAAAAATGGATTTTTATATGAATAAATCTAAAATCGGCTGTAGTTTCTTAAATAACGCCCCAATCAAGAAAATAGTGAAAATCTGTGATCACTCATATATTTCACCAAAAATCGATTTTTATATGAAAAATCTACAATCGGCTGTAGTTTCTTAAATAACGCTCCAATCGAGAAAATAGTGAAAATCTGTGATCACTCATATATTTCACCAAAAATGGATTTTTATATGAATAAATCTAAAATCGGCTGTAGTTTCTTAAATAACGCTCCAATCGAGAAAATAGTGAAAATCTGTGATCACTCATATATTTCACCAAAAAACAATCTTTATATGAAAAATCTAAAATCGGCTGTAGTTTCTTAAATAACGCCCCAATCAAGAAAATAGTGAAAATCTGTGATCACTCATATATTTCACCAAAAATCGATTTTTATATGAAAAATCTAAAATCGGCTGTAGTTTCTTAAATAACGCTCCAATCGAGAAAATAGTGAAAATCTGTGATCACTCATATATTTCACCAAAAATGGATTTTTATATGAATAAATCTAAAATCGGCTGTAGTTTCTTAAATAACGCTCCAATCGAGAAACTAGTGAAAATCTGTGATCACTTATATATTTCACCAAAAATCGATTTTTATATGAAAAATCTAAAAACGGCTGTAGTTTCTTAAATAACGCTCCAATCGAGAAACTAGTGAAAATCTGTGATCACTAATATATTTCACCAAAAATCGATTTTTATATGAAAAATCTAAAATCGGCTGTAGTTTCTTAAATAACGCTCCAATCGAGAAAATAGTGAAAATCTGTGATCACTCATATATTTCACCAAAAATGGATTTTTATATGAATAAATCTAAAATCGGCTGTAGTTTCTTAAATAACGCCCCAATCAAGAAAATAGTGAAAATCTGTGATCACTCATATATTTCACCAAAAATCGATTTTTATATGAAAAATCTAAAATCGGCTGTAGTTTCTTAAATAACGCTCCAATCGAGAAAATAGTGAAAATCTGTGATCACTCATATATTTCACCAAAAATGGATTTTTATATGAATAAATCTAAAATCGGCTGTAGTTTCTTAAATAACGCTCCAATCGAGAAAATAGTGAAAATCTGTGATCACTCATATATTTCACCAAAAAACAATCTTTATATGAAAAATCTAAAATCGGCTGTAGTTTCTTAAATAACGCTCCAATTAAGAAAATAGTGAAAATCTGTGATCACTTATATATTTCACTAAAAATCGATTTTTATATGAAAAATCTAAAATCGCCTGTAGTTTCTTAAATAACGCTCCAATCGAGAAAATAGTGAAAATCTGTGATTACTCATATATTTCACCAAAAATCTGTTTTTATATGAAAAATCTAAAATCGTTCCAATTTTCTAAAAATAAAATCTGTTATCACCGTGTATTACCTTTTTTAGGAAAAGTACCAAATCTAATGCATTTCGTACTTATTCGACATTTGCCGTTGCCCATCACTATCACTGAAAATGTTTGTTGTCACCAACAAACTTTTTTACATTTTACAAGACGAAACAAACTATTTCACATTTTTTGTTTTTATTTCACCATTTCAATAAAAAAGAGCACACACACTTTATTAAACAATTTACTTTTTATTTATTTATTTTAATTATTTATTGAAAGTATCCACTTTCTTCTAACCAAAATTTTACTTTAATTTATAAATATCATTTAAAAATATTTGCAAACTTTAACTTTCTTCTTATCACTTTGAAGGCCGAACGTCAACTGATTGATTGAGATAAATAATACGACAACTTCAGTCATCTCATCTTATCTGAAGTTACTTCAGATAAGATGAGATGAGATGAAAACAATGAAAAACTTGTTTATGCTTGCTCAATGGGTTTGTGTTTATAATAAATGTTTGTGTCTCTACTAAATATAGTAAGGTCACGCATCTTATTGTGATTGGTCAGCAGAACAATTGGTCTAGTTTGAAAATTCATATTGGATTTTATTCGGAAATATTAATTAAGCATTTAAAATGGAAATTTCGGAATTTATATCAGAAAATCAATTGTCGAATAAGAATCATAGAAATTATTGTAAGTTTATCTATATAAGTACATACTATAGATCAGTCTGTAGTATGAACTCTAAATCACTGTATAATCTGGACTATAGTTTAGTCTATTTATATATATTTAGTCTATTTAGTCTATAGTGGACTATATTTCAGTTTATAGTCAGGACTATAGATCAGTCTATAATTTGGGTTATTGATCAGCTTATAGTCTGGACTATAGTAATCTGGACTATAGATCAGTCTATAGTTTGGACTATAGATCAGTCTATAGTTTGGACTATAGATCAGTCTATAGTTTGGACTTTAGATCAGTCTATAGTCTGGACTGTAGATCATTCTATAGTCTGGACTATAGATCAGTCTATAGTCTGGACTATAGATCAGTCTATAGTCTGGACTATAGATAAGTTTATAGTCTGGACTATAGATGTATGGACTAGTATAGATTAGTCTAAAATAAGAACTATAGATTAGTCTAAAGTAAGGACTATAGATTAGTCCATAATATGGACTATAGATCAGTCTATAATTTGGGTTATTGATCAGCTTATAGTCTGGACTATAGTAATCTGGACTATAGATCAGTCTATAGTTTGGACTATAGATCAGTCTATAGTTTGGACTATAGATCAGTCTATAGTTTGGACTTTAGATCAGTCTATAGTCTGGACTGTAGATCATTCTATAGTCTGGACTATAGATCAGTCTATAGTCTGGACTATAGATCAGTCTATAGTCTGGACTATAGATAAGTTTATAGTCTGGACTATAGATGTATGGACTAGTATAGATTAGTCTAAAATAAGAACTATAGATTAGTCTAAAGTAAGGACTATAGATTAGTCCATAATATGGACTATAGATCAGTCTATAGTCTGGACTATAATTCAGTCTATAGTCTGGACTATAGATCAGTCTATAGTCTGGACTATAGATCAGTCTATAGTCTGGACTATAGAGCAGTCTATAGACTGGACTATAGAGCAGTCTACAGACTGGACTATAGAGCGGTCTATAGTCTTGACTATAGAGCAGTCTATAGTCTTGACTATAGATCAGTCTATAGTCTGGACTATAGATCAGTCTATAGCCTGGACTATAGATCACTCAATAGTCTGGACTATAGATCAGTCAATAGTCTGGACTATAGATCAGTCAATAGTCAGGACTATAGATGTATGTACTAGTATAGATTAGTCTAAAATAAGGGCAATAGATTAGTCTATAGTATGGACTGTAGATAAGTCTATAGTCTGGACTATATCTCAGTCTATAGTCTTGACTATAGATCAGTCTATAGTCTGGACTATAGATCAGTCTATAGTCTGGACTATAGATCAGTCTATAGTCTGGACTATAGATCAGTCTATAGTCTGGACTATAGATCAGTCTATAGTCTGGACTATAGATCAGTCTACAGTCTGGACTATAGATCAATCTATAGTCTGGACTATAGATCAATCTATAGTCTGGACTATAGATCAATCTATAGTCTGGACTATAGATCAATCTATAGTCTGGACTATAGATCAATCTATAGTCTGGACTATAGATCAATCTATAGTCTGGACTATAGATCAATCTATAGTCTGGACTATAGATCAATCTATAGTCTGGACTATAGATCAATCTATAGTCTGGACTATAGATCAATCTATAGTCTGGACTATAGATCAATCTATAGTCTGGACTATAGATCAATCTATAGTCTGGACTATAGATCAATCTATAGTCTGGACTATAGATCAATCTATAGTCTGGACTATAGATCAATCTTGACTATAGATCAATCTATAGTCTGGACTATAGATCAGTCTATAGTCTGGACTATAGATCAGTCTATAGTCTGGACTATAGATCAGCCTACAGTCTGGACTGTAGATCAGTCTATAGTCTGGACTGTATAGATCAGTCTATAATAGTTTGGACTATAGATCAGTCTATAGTCTGGTCTATAGATAAGTCTATAATCTGGACTATAGATTTGTCTATAGACTGGACTATAGTTCTGTCTATAGCCTGGACTATAGACCAGTTAAAAAAAAACACTTTTTTATTTTTAGGATTTTTATTTTACTTTTATTTTTGTTTTAAATTTTATATAAAAAATTTATATTGTATAATCTGGACTATAGTTTAGTCTATTTATATATATTTAGTCTATTTAGTCTATAGTGGACTATATTTCAGTTTATAGTCAGGACTATAGATCAGTCTATAATTTGGGTTATTGATCAGCTTATAGTCTGGACTATAGTAATCTGGACTATAGATCAGTCTATAGTTTGGACTATAGATCAGTCTATAGTTTGGACTATAGATCAGTCTATAGTTTGGACTTTAGATCAGTCTATAGTCTGGACTGTAGATCATTCTATAGTCTGGACTATAGATCAGTCTATAGTCTGGACTATAGATCAGTCTATAGTCTGGACTATAGATAAGTTTATAGTCTGGACTATAGATGTATGGACTAGTATAGATTAGTCTAAAATAAGAACTATAGATTAGTCTAAAGTAAGGACTATAGATTAGTCCATAATATGGACTATAGATCAGTCTATAATTTGGGTTATTGATCAGCTTATAGTCTGGACTATAGTAATCTGGACTATAGATCAGTCTATAGTTTGGACTATAGATCAGTCTATAGTTTGGACTATAGATCAGTCTATAGTTTGGACTTTAGATCAGTCTATAGTCTGGACTGTAGATCATTCTATAGTCTGGACTATAGATCAGTCTATAGTCTGGACTATAGATCAGTCTATAGTCTGGACTATAGATAAGTTTATAGTCTGGACTATAGATGTATGGACTAGTATAGATTAGTCTAAAATAAGAACTATAGATTAGTCTAAAGTAAGGACTATAGATTAGTCCATAATATGGACTATAGATCAGTCTATAGTCTGGACTATAATTCAGTCTATAGTCTGGACTATAGATCAGTCTATAGTCTGGACTATAGATCAGTCTATAGTCTGGACTATAGAGCAGTCTATAGACTGGACTATAGAGCAGTCTACAGACTGGACTATAGAGCGGTCTATAGTCTTGACTATAGAGCAGTCTATAGTCTTGACTATAGATCAGTCTATAGTCTGGACTATAGATCAGTCTATAGCCTGGACTATAGATCACTCAATAGTCTGGACTATAGATCAGTCAATAGTCTGGACTATAGATCAGTCAATAGTCAGGACTATAGATGTATGTACTAGTATAGATTAGTCTAAAATAAGGGCAATAGATTAGTCTATAGTATGGACTGTAGATAAGTCTATAGTCTGGACTATATCTCAGTCTATAGTCTTGACTATAGATCAGTCTATAGTCTGGACTATAGATCAGTCTATAGTCTGGACTATAGATCAGTCTATAGTCTGGACTATAGATCAGTCTATAGTCTGGACTATAGATCAGTCTATAGTCTGGACTATAGATCAGTCTACAGTCTGGACTATAGATCAATCTATAGTCTGGACTATAGATCAATCTATAGTCTGGACTATAGATCAATCTATAGTCTGGACTATAGATCAATCTATAGTCTGGACTATAGATCAATCTATAGTCTGGACTATAGATCAATCTATAGTCTGGACTATAGATCAATCTATAGTCTGGACTATAGATCAATCTATAGTCTGGACTATAGATCAATCTATAGTCTGGACTATAGATCAATCTATAGTCTGGACTATAGATCAATCTATAGTCTGGACTATAGATCAATCTATAGTCTGGACTATAGATCAATCTATAGTCTGGACTATAGATCAATCTATAGTCTGGACTATAGATCAATCTATAGTCTGGACTATAGATCAGTCTATAGTCTGGACTATAGATCAGTCTATAGTCTGGACTATAGATCAGCCTACAGTCTGGACTGTAGATCAGTCTATAGTCTGGACTGTATAGATCAGTCTATAATAGTTTGGACTATAGATCAGTCTATAGTCTGGTCTATAGATAAGTCTATAATCTGGACTATAGATTTGTCTATAGACTGGACTATAGTTCTGTCTATAGCCTGGACTATAGACCAGTTAAAAAAAAACACTTTTTTATTTTTAGGATTTTTATTTTACTTTTATTTTTGTTTTAAATTTTATATTTTCAATTTTGTGTTGTTGTGTATTTTTTGTAAATTTTTTAAAGAATTGTTTAGTTAGGTAATTTCTTTTGTGTTTTCTATAATATTTGAAAAAAAATATATATAAAATAAATGATTGAAGGAAATTTGGGGTTAGTTTTTGGATTTAGGTATGCGTATGTATTTTTGTGTTTAAGAGATGCAAATGTTGTTTTGTTTTATGAGTTGAAATGACAAAATGCAAATGAACTTATTATTTATAAAACTACAAACTAAAATGTATACAATTTTAAAAAATATATATTAGAGAGTTTTAAATATATTTTAAGAAATATAAAGAAAATTACAAGTTTTGTTTTTATATTTATATAAATATTTTTTTTGTATATAAAATACAAAAGTTTTTTGTTTAAATAATAAAGGCTCGGCCTAAATTAAGTGGGGGGAGGCTCGAAAGAGAGAGGGAGAGAAAAAGGAGACAATTTACAAAGAAAGATATGGACAGAAATGTAAGGTTTAAAGTCTGATTGGGGGGAAGACTTTAAAGCAGAGATTTCTTTACAAAAATTTCCAATCAAATTTAAAATTGGCAAAAGCCACTAGAAATTTTAATAATTTAAAGGGACTTTTAAAAAGAAATTTTAAATTTAAGGGAAATTTTTGTTGTTTTTAATTATAAAAAACAAAATAAAGAAATTCTTTTTAAAATTTGGCTTGGTGGCCAAGTTTTTTTTTAAAAAGAATTTCTATTAAATGTTTTTTGTTAAAAAGTTTAAGGAAAAAACACTGGTTGGTGTGGGTTTAATCATAAGGAAATGTAGTTAGATTTTTATAACAAATTTTGTACTTCAATTAAGAATTTAAAATGTAAAAAAAAGGAAACATTCTTTAAAGCTTTTAAATAATTTAAACTTTTCTTAATAATTTCTTAAAATTAGCTTTTTTTCCCTTTGTTAAAGGGAAAAAATGGTAAAATTAAGAAATTTTTGTTTTAAGATATAAGTTGTTTGTTTAAATAAAAGCTTTTTTTAAGCAATAAACCTTTTAGTTTAAATTTTTTTAAAATATTTAAAGGTTAATGAAACATTTCTTGTTTTTTTAATAAAGAAACCTTTCAAAAAGCTTTAAATCGGGGTAGGAGGAAAAAAAGATATTGCCAATTTTGGTTAAGAAATTCATACTTAATGCAATATGTTTTTTTGTTAAATTTAAGAAAATTTTTTTTTTGGTAAATTGGGTAAAAAAGTAATGAAGGACTTTTTTTGTTCATATGCCTTTAAAGGGGAAAGGGGTGGTGAGGGTAGTGAAAAACAGAAACTTATAAAACTAAACTTATAATATTAAGATTTTAATAACTAATAACTTAGTTTATGGCATTCAGTTATAATTAATGATTTCTTAAAAATAAAGAAAAAATTAAAACTTTTTTCTTTATTTTTAAAAAGAAAATGTTTTGCTTTAAAAAAAAAATTGCTTAAATTTTTAAAATTATAATTTAGTTATTATAAAAATACAAAGGTTATTTAGTAAAATTATTTATATAAAAGAAATATAAAATTTCCTTTTTAATTATGACGCTGTGTTCTTACTGAAAAATGCGCTGCTATGCTGTTGGCATTAACAGCATGATTGAAATGTGATGCAGATGATGAGGAGGAACCAGAAGAGGTACGCATACGCTTAGCAGGAGATACTTTTTTGGGTGTTTGAGCCAAACGTTTGCGTTCTTTCATGTATTCTAAAAATAGAGAGAAAGAGAGAAAATTAGTTGGGTTTTTCAATATCAATAAAAAAGTAAAGAAAATTAGCCTTAAAGAATAGAGAAAATCCTTTAGGGTAGAAAAAAGGTCATTGTTCTTTGAAATCTAATAAGAATTTTCCTTTTCATCCCTGTGTGTGTCTGCATCCCTAAAATATTTTATATTATTTATTTACGCATCCTCCTTTTGTCTTTTTTTAAAAAAAAGGTGGTGTTTATTGATCCTGTTAGTGGCACGCGCTAGGCACAGGACTCTTTTCAAATAAATCATTTACGAAATCTTAACTAAAGTAAAGGTTAAGGTCTTAAATCTTTAAAAATGGTTATAATTTGAGAGAAGATTTATATTTGAATTCTTAGCACATGTTCAGAATTACTAAGTATTAATCAATCTTTCATATTTCATGTCTTTTTAACAAAAATTTTAACTTTTTAAAAAAAAAAATCAACCTAACCTCAAAATTTGTTTTAAAATTGTTAAAATATTCTTAAATTTTATTATAATTAAGGACTCTGTAAACTGGAATATATTAAAAACTGATTAGATATACTAGTTTAGTAAAAAATTACTACAAATTTCCTAAAATTTCAGGAAATTTTGAAAATTTTGAAAACCTAACCTCAAAAATTAAATTTTTAAAAATGCAATTTTTTTATTTCTATTACAACAAGCAACATTTTGAAAGCTAAATCTAAGGAAAACGATTTCAAAATCTTAAAAATTATAGAAAATTTTCAAAATTTTAAAGAAAATTTAAAGAAAATTGTAACAAAATTCTATACAAATCAAAGAAAAACCTATAAAACTTATAAAAAATAAGTAATTAATTAGTAATAATAGTTAATGCTTACAAATTTCTAGGATTTTTCGTTGATTTCAACATTTTTAAAAACCTAACCTCAAAATTGAAATTTTACAAAAACCCACTTTTTTGAGTTGCTAATCGTTTATTAGGCCTTATTAAAACAAAATAATTATAATAATTAAAAAATCCCTATAAATTTCTAATCATATTTAACAAAATTTACAAATTTTTCAAAACTAACCTCAAAAATTTTAATTTAAAAATTCAACAATGGCCGGAAAATTTCATAAGATTTAGTTAATTTGTAAAATAATCTTTAGTAAAACCCTTTTAATCATTCAAAATAACTTAAAAGAACTCAATAAAACGGAAGTACTGATTAAACTATTTCAATTCTTTTAAATTGTAAAGCAAGACCTAATTTAACACAAAATTTAAAACTAAATAATTGTTTAAAGAAAACTCTGATTTGTTATAATTTAAACAAAAGCAGTTTTTAACAACAAAACAATAAGAATTTGATATGAAAAATAAATTTACAGCTTGTTTTTTTTAACTACTTAAAAAATTATTTAAAAATTTTCTAAAAATGCGGGTCCATAATAAAAATTTTATAAAAAAATTTCAAAAACATATAAGGCACGTGTGTTATCATTTGAAAGATCATTGAATTTGACCAAACAAACAAGCTACCCCATCATGAGCAGTATAAGGATGATAAGGGTTTGTTGTTGAAAAGGAAAATTTTCATCCTTATCAAACAGCTGTGAAGATTTTTCTCTAAAGATCATAAATTTTTATAACAAGGGATGTTTGCATTAGCACAAACACGCAAAACTTTAAAACATGTAAGTTTTAAAGGTAGATGTTATAACTGAAAATGGGGGTTCATTACAGGAACATAAAAATGAACACAGCTGTGTGATCTTTACAAAAAATAAAACAAAATAAAATCAAACACTTGTGCTTTAAGCAAACAACCCCTTTTGTTTTATATCAAATCATGAAATCAGGTTTTGATTTTTTTGTATACTTGCTATAGGTATAATTATCTAGAACGGAAGTTCTATTAAATCAAACCGCAAACTAAAATTCTATAAAAAGAAACAGGACTAAAAAAGGCGTGTTTGCTTTTAAACAATAACTAAACTCTCCCACAATTTTTAAAAGTTTTATTATGTTTTGTCCGTTAAATATATGTAACTACAAAACCATGACGAAAAATCTTTATTATTTAGGGGGTGAAAATTTATTGATTGATCTACTATAGTTTTAGTTGCAATTGAAATTGGGTTGATTTGAGGGTAGGGTTTGCATGTTTGTTGGAAAATTAAAAATAACGTTCTTTTCCCATAATTGTTTTAAGCTTTAGGCCTAAACAAGTGTTTTATAATTAAAAAAGGAAATTGGCTTTTATGGTTAAAATTTAAGGCTTGAATGCATTTTGCTAACGGTGGGAAATGGGAAATGTTATTGAACAGTAAAATTATAACAGGAAATAGTTTTGATTAGTCAATATGACAAAAGCCGTTAAAACATTTGACATAATTTATAAAATTAGAGAAAATTTAAAGGTTTTCTAAAAACTATAACTTATTTGAAACACTATATGAAACAGTTTATTGCATAAACTTGTTAGTTTTTACAGATTTTATAATAAAACTGTTTTCGTTTATAGAATTTAAAAATATTTAAAAAATTTTTAAATAAAAACTTAACCTAACCTAAAAATCTAACTAAAATTGTTTTCAGTGTAATTCAATTTAAAGATAATTTCATAATTTTACAAAATTTTCAAACAATTGCTAAAATAAAACTTTAAATCCCCCAACAGATACCTTTTACTTAACAACTTCTTGCAACTAACTTAAAAAACTGTTTTCAGATTAAAAACTTTAAAATCCTAAAGTTAATTACATAATTTTAACAAATTTTCAAACGAAACTTTTCCCTTTTCAAAACAATAACCTTTTCCCTTAAAATACACCAAATATTTTCCCTGTTATGGCTAAAACAAACTTTCAACTCAACTTACCTGTAATTTTAGGTTGTCTTTTGCGCAGTTGTGTTTTACGGGGCACAGCCAAAGTGGCTTCAGCATGATGGGGACCAGCGGGAACTTTGAAAACAACCATTGATTCATCTTGTGAGTCATCGCAGGAGTCTGTATCGGTGGCTGAAGATTGTGAAATATTGAAATTTTCACGATCGGCCCGTTCATCCATTAGCATTTCCATGTGGGTTTTAGGTGCAGGGGTCGCGGGCACAGGTCTAACATGGGCAGCTCTAGTTAAAGTATACATTTCGGGTGCTATGCAACTCTCTTGTGAGGACACACGTTCCCATATATACTGGGAATTGGCCGATAAAGGAGAACCATTGCGAAAATCAAAGCCCCATTTCTTGGCAGCCTTCTCTTGGTGTTTTTCCAATTCCTCATTGAAGATTCTTTTTGTTAAAAGCAAAATATATAATATTATTATAGTAATTTGTTGAATTGTTTAAAAATAAAAACTTACTTATTGGTTTCAATGGGATTAGCAGGACCAAAGAGATCTCTTTTGATGCGATTCAATTGACGGCCACATGATAGATTTGTCCTTAGGGCATGAGGACTGGAAGTCATTTTGCAGAATTCATTTAACATGGGATTTAAAACACGGGCAGCCGACATTTTTTTTTGCTTTTTTGTTTAATTTATTTGTAATTAATTTTAACCTTCACTTGTTTTGGTTTGTTCTTTTTTTATTTTTCACTTTTATGTTTTTTTTTATTTTTACTTATTATTTTGCGTCTTGGCAACTGTCAAAAAATTGGCGCCAAAATCTGTGTCAATTTCCCCACTTTGTGTAGAAAAATAAAAGACGAACAGAAAGCTTTTTGCTCCACCTCACTTTTAGTGTACAGTTGCTCCAACTAAACAAATCACCTCTTGCACAAAAACAATCTAGTCTATTTTCTTTTGCTGTTTTTTAATTGTGAGGTTAGGTAGAGTTTATTTTTCACTAGTTTCTATATTTTCCTTAAATATTTTAATAAAGATTTATAAATTTTTCTTAAATTTTTTATTAAAATTTATTTTTTCTTATTAAAAGTTTATTTTTAGCTTAAAATTTTCTTTAGCTGTCAAACACTGCTGTCTTGTTTATGTTATACACTTTATTTTTATCAACACACTATTGTGAATTATTTAAAAAAAGCTTTTTTTCTCAAAAGTTGTTTTTGTGTTCTCTTTGAAAGTATTTTTATTGAACTTTTTTTAGCTCTTGCTTTTTTTTCAACGATTTGTTAAATGTTTTCTATTGTTGTTGGGCAATTGTTTTATAAAAACACTTTAATAAATTTTTGTTATTTTATAATAAATAACAAAATATTTTAATTGTTTTTGCTCTATAATAAAATTGCGTGTTTATATTTTTTGTTTTATTTTTTTACGGAGTTCTCTAACATAAAAAAATATCTAGATGTTAACTCGCTGAGTAGTTTCTCTTAACTAAATTATAATGACCTCACTAGAGCTCTACTAGGCGAACGAACGAAGCTAATGCAAGACAGCAAAACTACATATAGTTTCAACAAACAACAACAATTTACACCAGGGAGCATGAAGACCAGCAGAGCTGTCGGCAGAGACAGCAAAACATAGCAGAATAAGATAGTAGGTAGAAAAAATAAACATTAAAAGTAAAAGAAATAATAAAAACAATACAACACACACGTACAGCCTGGCAACAACAATTATATAGAGTTGGTGGTGGTTTGGTGTTGTTGTTTTTTCTTTTACTACAACTACAAAAATAACAAAAAAGACCAATTTGAATTTAACATTTTCATGTAATATGTTAACAGACCCCTGCTTAGCTTAAAAACTGTTAAATGTTAATGTAAATTTTCCCCCATCATTGTAATGTTTACATTTTATCTCTATCTATCTCTTTCTTTCTTTTTTCTCAGTTTTCCCTTTTTATTTAAGTAATTTTATATTTTGTTTTGTTCCTGCTGTACTTTTTTTGGTGTGTTCTTGTGTACGATCTATCTTAATAATTCTATTTTTTTTTGTGTATCTTTCTCTCTGTGTGTGTAAAATAAATTTTCTTTCTTCCAAAAAAAAAAAAAAAACACAATTTTGTTGTTATTTATCTCCCACTTTCTTACTGTTTGTTTAGTTTTGTAGGTTTTCTGTTTATTTTGATTATGAAAATTCTTATTTTTGTTTTGCTGCTTTAACAAAATTCTAAACAGTTTTTTCATTGTTTTGTGAAATTCTTCTTGGATTCTTTTTGTGAAAAGTAAGAAAAACATATTTTTTGTACAAAATCTTCCAAAAATCTTATTGCAAAAGCATCAAATTAGAAGAGAAACATCTAACAAATGAGGAGAAATGGATAAAAACCCAGAAAGTAAGTTGTCATTTCAATATTTATGTAAATTAGTTAACGACTATTTTTTTTTTTGGGAAAGGTCAGCATTTTAAGTTAAATTAAAGAAAATTTGTTATCTTCTACAAAAATTTATATAAATTAAGAAACTAGAAGAAAGCAATAGAAGATAGAAACAATCAATCCCCAATATAAACCTAGTTCTTGGAGAACTAAAAGTTTAATTTGAACAGTGATCCATTGCCTGTTATTTTGGTTTACATTTAACAAGGGGCTGCACTAAGTTGACCCTGGAAACTGCGGTAACTTTGAAAACATGTTGTGATTCATCTTGTAGCATCTTTTATTAACGGAAGATTGTGAAATGCATACATACAGCAGACGTTGTAGTAGGTATCCTCCAAAACTACAAACTTACTTGCATTACATCTCCGACGGAATCTGTCATCTGATGGCGAGACTTTTCATGAATTTGCAAAGTTAATAAGATTTGTTATTTGCGAGGCACTGACTAAAAAACAGCTAGTACATTTACAGGAAATTGTTAGTTTGTTATTGAGACAGTATCCAAAATTATCATTGGAACCAGCAATTGATTCATCTTACAATTCCATGCCGGAAGCATTTCAGGCCTACTAGGTAATATTGACAATGTGTACATCGGCACATTTAATGGTCAACATTTACTAGTAACAAAGGAACTTTTCTTTAATTAAACCCATTTCCAGATGTATCGAGAAGAGTTGTATGTCGTGTTTAAAGTGTTCTTTTCGAGAACAAAGTAACTGAATAGAGTTATAGGTCGTGGTCTACAACTTTTAATCCTGACAAGGACAGCTCTTGTTTAAAGAGCTGTGAACCAGGCAGATTGATAGATAGATAGATAGATAGATAGATTGATAGATAGATAGATAGATAGATAGATAGATAGATAGATAGATAGATAGATAGATAGATAGATAGATAGATAGATAGATAGATAGATAGATAGATAGATAGATATATAGATAGATAGATAGATAGATAGATAGATAGATAGATAGATAGATAGATAGATAGATAGATAGATAGATAGATAGATAGATAGATATATAGATAGATAGATAGATAGATAGATAGATAGATAGATAGATAGATAGATAGATAGATAGATAGATAGATAGATAGATTGATAGATTGATAGATAGATAGATAGATAGATAGATAGATAGATAGATAGATAGATAGATAGATAGATAGATAGATAGATAGATAGATAGATAGATAGATAGATAGATAGATATATAGATAGATAGATAGATAGATAGATAGATAGATAGATAGATAGATAGATAGATAGATAGATAGATAGATAGATAGATAGATAGATAGATAGATAGATAGATAGATAGATAGATAGATAGATAGATAGATAGATAGATATATTACTAGATAGATATATAGATAGATTAATAGATTGATAGATTAATAGATTAATAGATAGATAGATAGATAGATAGATAGATAGATAGATAGATAGATAGATAGATAGATAGATAGATAGATAGATAGATAGATAGATAGATAGATAGATAGTGAGGTAGATAAAATCAACATGCAATTGTTCCTCCGCTGTTGTACACATTGAAAAAGTACTACGCAATATTTTCTTCATAAATAGTACTGTAAACTTTAAATAGAACACATAAATTTTTCCTTAACAAAGAACTTATTCATTACATAATTTTAAAAGCAAACTCATCCATTGTTCTCTTTGTTTACAATATTACAATACACGATCAATTCAGTTAAATTATTTGTGTCATTATTTATTTCTTGTTTTTTTTTTTTTTTTTTTTCTTTAAATGCAATTTGTTTAAAACTTTAAAACGCCCAGCACTTTAAAAACAAAATCTACAGAAAAGCTATGCATGTACAAATGACTACAAAACCACATCAATTTGTATTCAAAACATTTCATTCATTTATTTAATTTCATTTAATTTTGTTGTTATACTTTGTTTACGTTTTATTATTATTATTAGCTTGCAAGACTCCTCTCTTAACTAGTTTACTTAAATATTTATGTTTGAGGTTAAATTGTTATTTTGAAATTGTCATTGACAAACAAACAACAAAAAAAGCTTTTTAATTAAAGATATTGAATGTTTATAACGGCTGTTGGTTGTGTGGTTGCTTTAAGGGAAGAGGGGATTTTAATTAATAGGAAATAAACTTAATCAATTAGACATTAATTTAACGTTACAAATTAAATTAATTGGCTATTAAAGGGCAATGGGGGGGGCGCGCAGAGGGCGAAGAGAGGGCGGGGACAGGGGGAGAAACAGGGGAAAAAGGGAGAGGGGGAAGCGAGAGGGGGGGAGAGGGAGGGAGACGGGGAAGGCAAAGGGAGCCGGGGAAGAGGCGAGAGGAAAAGGCGGAGAAGGGCAGCGCGCGAGCGAGCGAGCGAGCAGCGAGCGAGCGAGCGAGCGAGCGAGCGAGCGAGCGAGCGAGCGAGCGAGCGAGCGAGCGAGCGAGCGAGAGCGAGCGAGCGAGCGAGCGAGCGAGCGAGCGAGCGAGCGAGCGAGCGAGCGAGCGAGCGAGCGAGCGAGCGAGCGAGCGAGCGAGCGAGCGAGCGAGCGAGCGAGCGAGCGAGCGAGCGAAGCTAGCGAGCGAGCGAGCGAGCGAGCGAGCGAGCAGCGAGCGAGAGAGCGAGCGAGCGAGCGAGCGAGCGAGCGAGCGAGCGAGGGGAGCGAGCGAGCGAGGAGCGAGCGAGCGAGCGAGCGAGCGAGCGAGCCGAGCGAGCGAGCGAGCGAGCGAGCTAGCGAGCGAGCGAGCGAGCGAGCGAGCGAGCGAGCGAGCGAGCGAGCGAGCGAGCGAGCGAGCGAGCGAGCGAGCGAGCGAGCGAGCGAGCGAGGAGCGAGCGAGCGAGCGAGCGAGCAGCGAGCGAGCGAGCGAGCGAGCGAGCGAGCGAGCAGGAGCGAGCGAGCGAGCGACGAGCGAGCGAGCGAGCGAGCGAGCGAGCGAGCGAGCGAAGAGAGCGAGCGAGCGAGCGAGCGAGCGAGCAGCGAGCGAGCGAGGGAGCGAGCGAGCGAGCGAGCGAGCGAGCGAGCTAGCGAGCGAGCTAGCGAGCGAGCGAGCGAGCGAGAGCGAGCGAGCGAGCGAGCGAGAGAGCGAGAGAGCGAGAGAGCGAGCGAGCGAGCGAGCGAGCGAGCGAGCGAGCGAGCGAGCGAGCGAGCGAGCGAGAGAGCGAGCGAGCGAGCGAGCGAGCGAGCGAGCGAGCGAGCGAGCGAGCGAGCGAGCGAGGAGCGAGCGAGAGCGAGCGAGCGAGCGAGCGAGCGAGGAGAGCGAGCGAGCGAGAGCGAGCGAGCGAGCGAGCGAGCGAGCAGAGCGAGCGAGCGAGCGAGCGAGCGAGCGAGCGAGCGAGCGAGCGAGCGAGCGAGCGAGCGAGCGAGCGAGAGAGCGAGGAGAGCGAGAGCGAGCGAGCGAGCGAGCGAGCGAGCGAGCGAGCGAGCGAGCGAGCGAGCGAGCGAGCGAGCGAGCGAGCGAGCGAGCGAGCGAGCGAGCGAGCGAGCGAGCGAGCGAGCGAGCGAGCGAGCGAGCGAGCGAGGAGCGAGCGAGCGAGCGAGCGAGCGAGCGAGCGAGCGAGCGAGCGAGCGAGCGAGCGAGCGAGCGAGCGAGCGAGCGAGAGAGCGAGAGCGAGCGAGAGAGCGAGAGAGCGAGAGCGAGCGCGCGAGCGAGCGAGAGCGAGCGAGCGAGCGAGCGAGCGAGCGAGCGAGCGAGCGAGCGAGCGAGCAGCGAGCGAGAGCGAGCGAGCGAGCGAGCGAGCGAGCGAGCGAGCGAGCGAGCGAGCGAGCGAGCGAGCGAGCGAGCGAGCGAGCGAGCGAGCGAGAGAGCGAGCGAGCGAGCGAGCGAGCGAGCGAGCGAGCGAGCGAGCG